TTGGTGTCGATCAATATAGTTCACCTGAAATTTTGACCTTAGAATTATTATGTCTAAAGAGCTGGGCTTTTAAATGCAATTAAACTCTGACTTTCCATACTCATTGACATGTGCTGTGTTGCTAAGTTCGTAGTCATGTAAGAGTAAAAGTAAACAAACAAACTGCATGTAATAATATTCATCACCTACATGTAACTTTTGTCATTATGTGCAAGGAGACACCTCTTTTCGATGGACCAGTTTCGTAATGTGTTTGAGTTGGGTGCATGGGCCGGCATGGGGTGCCTGGATCATGTGATTCCGCTCGCCTATTAGGAGTGATTGTGTTTCGGTGGGCAGGGTGTGGGTTGCACACATTTGTTGTTGCTAGGTTGGGCAAACATATAAGCTTGCCCAGCCTGGTTGCAGCTGGTGTGTGCAATTCGTGCTCTGTCTATCTGGGTGCGGTCGCTCTTGGCAGATGGGTGGAATCGCTCGCGTCCAGCCACCTCGCGGGGACCTGTGCATTCTGTTTGGATACGTTGCGAAACTGGTCGTTTGTATCTCTTTGACATGCATGAATGAATGACTGTAAACCTGTCCTCACTTTGTGCAATATCAATGTCTTCAACATTCCTGTGTCTTCGTATTATTATTATTAAAACAATGAGTTACCACTGCAGGATGTATGTACGAAGAAAATAGAGCAAAATTATTGAATGTAACTGTTTTTACTTGGAATAGCTCACACATCTATCATCACTTTTTAAGTACAGCCAGTGCATGTATTATGACCTATGTGCAATTATCTCTGAATTCGAATTTGCCCCGTACTGTGGGTTGGGATTCCTTCTCGATCCTTCCCTTCCACCTCTCTCTCTCTCTCCCTCTCTCCTTTATTCTCTCTTTCTTTTCTCTTTGTTTCTCTCTCTCTTTTATTTTCTCTCTTATATCTTCCTCTGCCTTTCTATCTTTGTCTCTCGTTATTTCTCACTGTCTCTTTGTCTCTCTCTCTCTCTCTCTTTATATATATGTATATATATATATATATATATATATATGTCCCTCCGGCTTGGGATGAGTTTCTGGGGTAGGGGGGGGGGGGGAGGGGTGCAAGGGATCGGGGTATTGTGTACTAACGTTATGTTGAAAACCTTGGGGCGTTTTTACTAAGTATATTTGTGCATGGTGTCGATGTTATGTTATGTTTTTTCCAATTTCTAACCGATTTTGAATGTAATTATTTCCTATTTCAATGTCATGCTTTTGATGTCTTTTTATGCCTCCGTTACGAAGTAGCCGGAGGCATTATGTTTTCGGGTTGTCCGTCCGTCTGTACGTCTGTACGTCCGTACCTCCCGTTCTTGTGATCGCATTATCTGAAGAACCGATTGATGGATTCCTGCCAACCTTTGGTCATGTATGTATCTTGCAGAGCCAATGAACTGATTAGATTTTGGGGTCACGAAGTCAAAGGTCAAAGGTCACAGGGCTCATTATGTATGCAAAAACAGCTTGTGATCGCATTATCTGAAGAACCGTTTAATGGATTCCTGCCAAACTTTGGTCATGTATGTATCTTGCAGAGCCGATGAACTGATTAGATTTTGGGGTCACGAGGCCAAAGGTTGAAGGTCACAGGGCTCATTATGTATGCAAAAATAGCTTGTGAACGCATTCTCATTAGAACTGCCAGAAGAATTACTATTTAACTCTAGACATCTTGCAGAGCCAATGAACTGAGTAGATTTTAGGGTCATGAGGTCAAAGATCAAAGGGTCATATATGTATATGAGAAATTGCTTGTAATCACAATATTCTGAGAACCTGTTAAAGGCACACTGTCCTACTTGTAGCTACTTGTTCCCTCTTAGAAAACTTCCCAAATCGGTGCCTGTTGGTCCCCCATGATCCTCTTTTTCTTATGTCAAATGAGAGCTGAGTTAATGAGATAGTCACCTGTCACAGTGACCTCGATGGCTTACTGGGTGGTCTAATCCCTTCTAACTGAAGTAGTTAAGCCTCCCTTTAATGGATTACAATTGAACTTGAATTTGAAAATTTTCTTTTGTTTTGGTTTGTAAAATTGCTCTATGACGGAGGCATCACTTTCGACTGCGCGCAGTCAAAATTCCATCTAGTTATACATGATTTTAATGTAAACGCAATATGTTAAATTCCACAATGAATTTCCATGTCATTATTGGACGAAATAAAATTGAATTGAATTGAATTGAATTGAGTTACCTGGGTCATTCCATGTCAAATCACCCAATGGGTTTAACCCAACAGTTTTTGATTTTTGATGAAACTTAGTGTACTTGTTGAGTGTGATCTCACAGCACCAAATCTTGTGTTTTAGGTCCATCGGGTGAGGGCTTTGGGAGATTGGCCCACCAAATTTTGAGATTGGGAGTTTCAATTGGATCCAATTGAAACCAATTGAAACCAGTTGAAACCAGTTGAAATCAGTTGAAAAGGCCCACCAAATTTTGAGATTTTCGCCAAAAGTGGGCATGGCCGCTTACCTTTGAACCCTTTTAATAATAGTCTGATTTTCAGACCCTTAATTTTACCTAATGGCTGCGCAAAGATTCAATCAGTTCAATTTTTAATTGCCATCACTAGAAGTGGGTTATTGATGTAGACAAATGCTCATGTACCCTTTACAGCTCATTTTATGTAAGTTAATTATAACCAATAAAAAAAAAAGAAGTCAGTCAATAGTGTCTGACAATGAAGTCTAGAAAGTAAACGGATTTCCTCGAATAATGTAAATTTTTACTAGGACATTGCTTATAACGTTTAAATTTCACAGATAGGACATGATACTTGACATATTCATAATTCCTGTAAAGTTCTACAGAATTTGATGTTGGCTGGAAACGGTGACCTATTACTTGAAAATGGAAAATTGAGACCAACTCAAACAATTATTTGTTATGTTATTATAATGACTATGGTTGAAGATGTCACTTTTACTTTTCACAGTTTTACTCTTCTTTTATGCGTTTTAAATTGCTGTTTTTTTACACTGATGAAGATTATTCATATTAATAAATGCTGTGAGTCGGTCTAACTCGAATTTATGGTTTCCAAAACGAGGAATTACTTAGGCCTGGTTTAGTCGCACAGATGCCTGAATGAAGTGAGTGCATGGTCAATGATTGTTGATGTGTTTTGAGTAACTTAAAGGGAAAGACCAGTTATGGTCATGCGATTGCATTGTGAAAGAAACGTTGTGGAATCGATCAGAGAAGGTTGATCATCTAGCATCTAGCATCTGCAAGGTTCTGGAATCATCAAAATGATTAGAAATTTGGCCCATTCTTCGTAAAGTTACAAGCACTATACACAGAAAGATGTATATGGGACTACCCTATATCTCTCACAGACCATGAGAGAAACAAATTTACCAAATATATGAATTAGTAGGCGGTTTCCCGGCAAATTTTTTATCATCGTGTATTAGTCAAAACATATTCTTTCACATGATTGGTAATGAGAGCTTCCATTTCATTTTTTGAAATTGGGGCGTTTCCAATACTGGTCTTTACCTTTAAGTAACTTTAGAGTGTTCGTATATTTCGAACAAAAGTTCCCGCCATCAATGCTCGAATATAGAATATTCTTAGCACACTACTCATGATACGAGTGGGAATCAAAAGTATGTGAGATATGCTGACCATCTGTGGTTATCTTGGTTTTATTGAAATGTGATTTAAAATCATAACATTTACGTTATTATGAAGGATGCAAAACACAATGTTCTTGACCGGGATGAGAACGTAATTATTTTGGTTCAATTATTGTGTAACATTTGCGAAATTATTAGGTTGAAAGCGGGTCACAAAAACACATTTCCTCTTCGACGTAAAATTCACGTGAATGTAGAACCTGATTTAACCGAAGGCCACCACTCAATATTGACGTTATTATGAAGGATCCAAAATACGATGTTCTGGAACGGGATCATGAGAACGTCATTATTTTGGTTAATTTATTGTGTAATAATGACAGGAGTTTTACGCAGATATTTTAACTAAAACCATCACTACCATTTCACATGTTTCTGTGAAGCGATTCAAAATCTTATGAAGCATGAGGTCATTTCGTTTATAAAGATGTGATTTCATAACCAAACGAAAACGGGAAGTATAAGGTTTACAAACCATCGTTTCCAAGGTAGGGATAATCACGTTATGATTATGGTCATATTGTAGTGACAATTGCATGATTTAGTGTACATGTGTTTTAAGTGACAAAGTGCAATAAAGGTGTTAACACATTCACGTAAATGAAGAACGTAAATCTGTTCAAGTCGATACTTTGATATTGACGTGATTTTCACGTGATTTTGTGTATTGGGTTAGGAAATTTATTTTCTTATAAAAGAAAACAAACTTATGGACTCAAAACTTATGTGCCATTTTAAAAGAGTAACCTCTGCGTTATTTGGTACCATTTTTGTGTGGTATCTGTTTTACCGGAACATGATGCATTGTTTCCGAGAACGTAAAAATCAATGAACTTGCGCCAAAATACGGTGAAATCAAAAGAACAAAAAAGCAAGTCTACTCTGATCAACTTATCATAACTCTTATGGAAAAGATTTGGGCAAAACAACTGCAGAAATGGTTACTATCATATTATTTATGCTTCTCCCATGACAATAGTTTTGATTCAGCTCTTTTAAATATTTTTCTCATCTGGATTCTTTTATATTTTGTCGACTATGCAGCCTTTTGATTGTTTCCTGTACCGCCTGATGACTAAAATAAGAACTTAACTGCCCTGGAAAAACTTATGGTTTGCAACAATGCATGCATATGGACAAGGGGTGAGGAGAGCTCAACCACCCCACCCCCTAAAAAATAACCACCTCAAATACTGACAATATTTACTACCCCTTCCCTATACTCTTGTGCATTGTTTAATTGTATTTTAACAGCAGTACCTGTATCGCATAATATAACCCTCTAGTCAATGTGATTTATTTATTTTATTGTGAATTTATCTAGGACCGGCAAAGAGAAGACCGGGCGTTGGGTTATGGACTACTCGACACCAGCATTGCCTGCCGACATCACAAACCTGCTAAAAAATGATGACAGGAGAGTCTGTGACAAAATATACAGAAAGAGGATTCTGGCTATTATTTTTGATGATCTGATGGCACATTCCCTGTAAGTTTACAGTACTTGGTTGTGTACTTGTTTTTATTTTTTAAAATATTTTTTTATTCATATATTTATTTATTTTTTTAATATTATTTATTTATTTATTCATTTTTTTTTTTCTGGGGGGGGGGGGGGATGTTTACGGCTTGTAACTTTTTTCCAATAAAAGTACGGTAATATTAAGGGACTTGCAATTATGAGATACTTATTGTACTCTTGTTATATGCACATAATGTCACAAGATCAAGCCAAATATGGTGCTTGTAGACAAAACTGAAATTTAGAGTTTGTGCACAATTCAAAAGAACACATTGTAAGCTTTCATTTGATGCAACATTTTCAAAATTTGGAAGATTTTGGCAAAGTTATGAATACGTTTTGCTAACATCATTCCTAATTTGTGGGGTTGTATGTGTTTTCCTTCTCCAGATATCCTACCCGTGAGGAATATAATTGTGTGGCACGAAGCTTAATAAAGAAGTATCCGCTTTTGGCAGACCGAGCAGTCAATTCAACGGGATACGTAAGTTTATTATTTTTTATTCTCTTCCTTTTTTGCAGGGATAGCTGATTTGAAATCACATTCAGTCTTGATTAATTTGTAAAATTACATTTTCAATTAAATAAGAGGAGTGATAACATTGATTACTAGCACTTTGGGGTTATATTCAATTTGAAAACTTGATTACAAAGTTTTTAATGTGATTTGAATTAAATCAAATAAATGAACTTTGTTTAAAATTTCTCTTTAAATGGAAAATGCCAGCCCTGCTTTTTGGTAGTGTAATTCACAGTATGGTGAGGCGATGTGCATCTTTTTCCTACTGTAATTATACCTATTTATACCATTTAATCACTATTTGAGTTTTTATTTTGTAATAACTAGGTCATGCTGAACTCTTCCCTTTGGAACTGGAGCCTGTACCATAGTAATTCTAAAATTGCAGATTTTCATTCATTTTTCTGTTATATTATTTGCATCCTTTCACTTGACATGAGCTCTTGACAGCTCGACCAGTACAGAATACTATAGTCACAGCGCTCGTCTCACCAGTGTAGCCTACAGTACCATAGGCAGCCCCAACAATTAAAGCTTTAAAAAAATATGCCTTATCAACAAGTGTCAAATTTGACTGCTTAGCACAAATTTTAGCAGCACTAGCGAGTGTAAGTTTTCTTGCTTATTTTGCATAATCTCCAACAAGAGCAAGAAAAGTTCCGGCATGCTCACACACTGGGCTGTATACTGTTAGTGTTTGATTACCATTTCTGGCATAATCATATTACTTTTCACGAAAGGATTATTCATTTGTTGCTATCACAATTTAAAGTTATCTTTTAAAAAAGTCAAACCAAAAATGTTCAATTCAATTTCATAGATTATTCTTAATACCAGGTTCATTTATGCTACTTTATGAATGAGTTCAGTAATTAACTTACTTTACACTTTGTTTTTATTAAAGGATACTTGGAAGCAGGCCTTGCGTAACAAGTTCAAAAATACCAGGAAGCCCCTGACGCAGGAGAGCGCTGTCCTCGAGCGGAAGCGGATCTTTGGACACCCGCGACAGGCCCAAGGCAGGGACAAGGCGGGCCAACCGTCTCCCATCAAAAAAGCTAAACGAGATTATTCCCCTAGTCTGGGGGGAGTGTGACCAGTTGTATACACTAGATAAGGTAAGTACATTATTTGTGACAGGTCATGTTACCTTGATAAACAGATTTAAAACAGGGATGTCAGCTCTCTGGCAAGTTATTTTTAGGCCACATCATGATTTATGTGAAGAAATCCAATCAAATGCTATTTTCATGCTCCCAACTGGCTCCCATGTTTAAAATAGGAATTGAAGTCCTTGAAAAGAAGGAAATTATTTAAACAATTTTTCAGTGCTCTGTTTCTTAATGTGGAGCATATTATTTTAGAACTAAGAATATGACAATTCGAAATTTATGAAGAAAAAAAAACAAATAAATTGTTGTTGATTTGATTTAATTTGATTTGATTTATTTTCCACTCAAATATCCACAAATTAAATTAAATCAAATGATATATATATATATATATATATATCGACTTTATCTGGCAAACAGGACAAGGAGAGATCACTTCACATTTGACTCGTGTAATTCTCTTAACAGCTTGGGGTGGGGAAGGGAGAAACAAGTTATTTGTACTTTGAATTATAGTCAACATTGTACTTTGTATAAAGCATATATATGTCTCATTTTAGGACCAAAATGTAATTATAGCCTACTTTTTTTTGGGGGGGGGGGGGGGGAAGGGAGGGGGGGGGCGGTGGTGGAGTGGAGAAACTATAGTCAACAATGTACAGTGGTGTAGAGAGTAATCTAGAACTCTACAGGGAGGAATCACACACAAAACAGTAACAAAATGGTAAAGGCCTATCTTAAAACCAACTTTCCTTTTCCTTCATTTCACATTACAGGACCCCCCACTGCCAACTCCAGCCATGGTCCTAAGATTGAGGGAACCCTCAACTCAGGACATAGAGATTCATGTTAACGGTGTGCAGCTGTGCAAGGCAACCGGTGAGGTCAAAGGGTTGTGTGCCACACTTGGGGCATATCATATCTTCGATCTGCAGTATATCCCCGTACTGGCAAGAAGACCCTGTTTTTTTTCAGCAGTTTCTTGCCGGCCTCCAAACTGGCAAGCCACTGCCATTGATGGTACAGCGTTTAATCAACATTGTCGCACATTGATTTTTGTTTTCTTTCCTTTTATGAATTTTGATCTCTGGCATCTCATATCTGGTATCTCATTCTGCAACAGTTTTCTTTAAGTCCTAATTGTACATGATTTTACTAGCTTTCCTTGAGCAAAAATTAGAAATGTATTAAATTCATGTTTAAAGGGGTACTCCAGGCTGAAAATAATGAATATTCAATGAATAGAGTAAAATTAAACAAAAAAAACACTGGAAATTTTATCAAAATTCTGATAAAAAATAACAAAGTTATTGAATTTCAAAGTTTGCATTATTTCGGTAAAACAGTTCTATGGATGTTGTCATGAATATGCAATGAGTGGGCTGATTGTGTATTTAAGTATTTCCACTGCATTGAACCGATACCTCCATCCAGGTCAGCCTCTCCAAAGCTAACTTTAAGTTGGTTCTTACAGTCTGCACTTGTGTTGAGATCACACTAACTGATGTTTAGGTAAGCATTAAAGCTTTTCGACATATAACTCAAGATTCTGGTCTGATTTCTTTAGAGCTGTGAAACGTAGACAAACGGGTGAGAATCAGTGACTGTTAGGTGATTACGAAGCATGGATGATTGATTGCTCGAGGGATGATCAATTGGTTGATGCTGTGCATATAAGAAGCTCGGGTGACCGATTGCAGTCGCCGTAGGATTGATTGTCGATACACCCTGTGATACCTGTTTGCAGTAAATGATAACTCCAGCCATCAAGCTACGGTCATATATTTTTACCAAACGGACAGAGAGCGCTTGGCAAGGCACGGGGCATCCTCAGGCTGACAAATTTTCTGTGTCAGCCAAGGTGGCGAACCGTGTCCGTCACTTAGGGTGTAGATACTCCTCACAGGGTGTGGAATCGATCATATAGGGTATAAAATTCAACCCCACTGGTGTAAATTTGAACCCATTTTTCATGAAAATGGAACCAAAACCATTGGGTGCAAATTTCACTCCTTAAAGGGAGTAAAATCATAACCTTGTGGGGGCGAATTTACACCTTGTGGGGAGTAAATTCAAACCTCTTTTTCTCTGTGTGTACATTCAATAGGAGAAGTACTGGTATGTGACAATCCTTAATGGTATTCAGAATCTCACTTCTTTATGAATACCATAATAGTTTACAGAATACACCAGTTAATTTGTACATAATTTATTTATGTTTACCGGTAAATAATATCTGTGGTACTTCCTGTCCAAGTATGAGATGAAAGTCTAGTGCAAAATCTAGAAAGTAAAGGATTGGATAGACCTTGATGAATGTACACGTATCTATTATTCATATACATGTGTGCCAATGTTAGATACTAGTAGCTTAACAAACTCAAAGTGTAGTCACGCATATTAAATATAAAGACCAGTTATGGTCATGCGATTGCATTGTGAAAGAAACGCTGTGGAATCGATCAAAAATGGTTGATCATCTAGCATATAAGTATTGGTGTTTACTGTAAGGTTCTGGAATCATCAAAATTATAAGAAATTTGGTCCAGTTACAAGCACTGTACACAGAAAGATGTATATGGGACTATGCACACGTGGGCGACACATGCGTTTATCTCTCACATACCAATAGACAAACTAATTTACCAAATATATCAATTAGTAGGCGGTTTCCTGGCAAATTTTTTATCATCATGTATTAGTCAAAACATATTCTTTCCCATGATTGGTAATAATAACTGCTTCCATTTCATTTTTTGAAGTTGGGGCGTTTCCAATATTGGTCTTTACCTTTAAGCACTTTTGGAATGCAAAATCATAATAGGTGGTGATATTGATGAATTAAAAATTGTACTTTCAGTTATCTGAATGATAGTTTCATTAATATATCAATTAATTGGAGGTGTTTACCAGACATTAGGGGTGGATGTAGCCGGCGACAAAGGGTGGGGGGGGGGGCGAAATCTTGAGAAAATATTTAGTGGCGATTAAGCAGGGGGAGGGGGGGCACTAATTTTTTTAATTTATTTTTGGCCCAATTTGGCCTAATTTTGGCACTACATTTTTAATTAATGGGGGGGGGGGGCATTTTAATTTCATGTTTAAAAAAGGTAAAATTAACGTTTCCAACTTTTTGTTTGGCCAGGGGGAAGGGGCCAAATATGTTGCCAAATATTTATCATTATTTTTGTTCATATTATGTTTTTTTGGGGTAAGCTTTACAATGAGTATTGACATAGTAACCAAATATACCATGCACTGAGAGGCTCTCGAGGTGGCAGGAAAAGCACTATTTTCTGAGGAGTATAGCCCCGAAGTAAATGGTGCTATACTATCGCCGAGGAATCCATTATTTCACAAGCGGCTTGAAAAAGTGCATGATTTATTTGTTTTATATTTTTCAAACCAACCTCCATAAAAATAATAATAATCATAATAATGTTTACTGTCACTGAAGTAGTGTTGAGTGCAGTGAGAGCAGCACAGACAACAGTACCGCGACCGATAGGCTATCACATTGATCAATCGCATATATGTCATCCATGGTGCCATGGTATCAGGCGCGGATCCAGGATTTCTTAGGGGAGGGGGCCCAACTTTTTTTTTTTTTTGCTCCCGAAAATTTGAAAATCGCGCCGGCCGAAAAGTCGCTCAGTGGGGGGGGGGGGGGGGGGGTACAGAGCACAATTTTTTTTTTTTTTTTTTGCTCCCGAAAATTTGAAAAACGCGCCGGCCAAAAAAATTTGCTCAGTGGGGGGGGGGGGGGGGGGGGGGGGGGGGGGGGGGGGGGCGGGTAGTGAGCACATTTTTTTTTTTTTTTATCCTCAACACCCCCCCCCCCCCTTGAGCGCCAGGGGGGGGGGGGGGCCCAAACCCCAAAAAAGGTAAAAATCACGTGATTTTACATGATTTTTTTTTTCTCAAGGGGGGGGGGGGCCCCCCTGGATCCGCCACTGCATGGTATAGTGCACTATACCACGGATGACGTCACAGATACATCATAGCAATTTTATGTTTGGTCACATGATGCTATGTTGACCAATCACTGAACAGGATTTCATTGATCAAAAATATAAAAGTTATTGAACAAGGTGCTATGTTTTTTATTTCAAATTTGGTATATGTTGAGGCATTTTGTTGGATGTTGAAAATATATGTTAAATTTGTTTAACTATTCGTGGCTTGTCTAGATCAAATAATCGTGGTATTGTGTTACTTTGGGATATAGAGGGGGGAGTGAGCACATTTTTTTTTTTTTTTATCCTCAAAAAACTTTCAATTTGCACCCCCCCCCCTTGAGCGCCAGGGGGGGGGGGGGGCCCAACCCCCAAAAAAGGTAAAAATCACATGATTTTACATGATTTTTTTCTCAAGGGGGGGTCTGGGCCCCCCGGGTCCCCCCCCCCCCCCACCCCCTGGATCTGCCACTGGGGGGTGGGGGGTCCCAAAAAAATCGCGCAGCGTGGGGGGGGGGGTCTCGAACTTTGAAAATTTGAAATTTTTCTTCGTTGGGGGGAGGGGGGGGGGGGGTAAGGCCACCTTTTTTAGGTCAGCCATTTGCATAACTTTTTTTTTTTTTACAAAATTATGCAGACTTCTCGTATGGTTTATGGTATCGCGCATACGAGAAGTCTGCATTATTTTGGACTGATAGCTTCAGTTTGAGATTGACTACAGCGTATAGCTAGGGTGAAGCTTTTCTTCACACACCTAATCGGAGATGAAGGTAGCCCATCCAATGTGTAAAAATTGCCAATTTGATAAGTGTAAGGATCGCATTGTACACATACAACCGCTATACTACACACACGCAATATATTCTTTGTGTATTGTATCCGTCAGGCATGATCAATGCAACGATGGCTGGCTACTAATTAAAATAGGCATGGTGGTCGGATATAATGAGAGTAGATGATGGAGGGGGGGGGGGGGTAAAGCGCAGTACTTAGGGGCAAATCAAAGAATTATACTAAGACCTCACTCATGTATGTTAGAAATTAAAAAGTTATTATCTTCTTTTGAATTGCAATATATCCCCGCACCATAATTATAAGTCATGCATGAATGTTATTTGTCATATGTTATATATTTGAAAGGTGGTACACGATTCAAGCTCTATTTGCTTATGTTTCATCACGTACCTTTGTGTGTTCTTTCTTCAAACTGTATATTAGTTGCAACGTGTCTATGATAAATCATTGTTATATTCTTTTTCATGTAAAGTCAATTCAAATGGATTGTAAAATTGAAATGATTTGTTATATTATTTTATATTCATTTTTCATGTGATGTTAACTTCAATGAATTGTGAAATTGTGAAACATGCATGCATGCATGCATAAATAAATAAATAAATAAATATGCCTTCTCTGGGAAAAGGGGCATTGACTCTTTAAATACCAAATCACAGAAACTATTCACCATTATGTCACCGTCATGTACATATTTTCTATGGATATATTTTTTAAATCTCAACTCTTTACCACATCAGCGTCATGTACATTGTCGATGGATAAAGTGGAATATTTATTCTTCACCACCCTACGCTAACTTTTCACCAACCTAGCGTCATGTACAGTGTCTATGGATAAACTGGAATATTAATTCTTCACCACCCTACGCTAACTTTTCACCACCCTAGCGTCATGTACATTGTCTATGGATAAAGTGGAATATTAATTTTTCACCACCCTACGCTAACTTTTCACCACCCTAGCGTCATGTACATTGTCTATGGATAAAGTGGAATATTAACTCTTCACCACCCTACGCTAACTTTTCACCACCCTAGCGCCATGTACATTGTCTATGGATAAGCTGGAATATTATAACTCTTCACCACCCTACGCTAACTTTTCACCACCCTAGCGTCATGTACATTGTCTATGGATTATTAACTCTTCACCACCCTACGCTAACTTTTCACCACCCTAGCGTCATATGTCCATTGTCTATGGATAAACTGGAATATCAACTCTTCACCACCATACGCTAACTTTTCACCACCCTACAGCGCCATGTACATTGTCTATGGATAAACTGCACTCTTAATTTTTCACCACCCTACGCTAACTTTTCACCACCCTATATAGCGCCATGTACATAGTCTATAAACTGGAATATTAACTCTTTACCGTGTTAGTTTGTGTTAGTTATGCCTATGCCTTTACGGTGACCATAATGGTAGGAATACTCCCCAGCAGAGGCCGCACTCCTGGGGGGAGTAGGGGCACAGTGCCCCCTCCCCCCACTTTTTCAAGCACCCGAAAAGTGCCCCTTTTTACATAGGAATAGTGCTCCTTTTACTCTGATAAGTGCCCCTTTTATTTTGACACGTGCCCCTTTCCTTCGACAAGTTCCCATTTTCCATTGCAATAAGTGTCCATTTCCATTCTCGTAAGTGCCCTCTTTAATCTCTAGTACTAGGGTAGATGTGGAGAATTGGAGACCCTTAAGCACATTTCCATAATTTACATAAACATGAAAAATGTTACACATACAGAAAGTTTTGTTTACTCTTTAGTAACTTCTTCTCTTTAT